ACTCGAACAACAGTCAACTATGTGGGAGTCCAGTGGCGTAACCATTATGCCATCCACTGGTCCCTGAAAACACTTATAAAATTTAATAAGATATGCATGTTCATTATAGAAAAATAAAATATATAGATGAGAAAAATTTAACAAATTATCTTACCTTTATTAATCGATCGATGTGTATTTTCCAAATATATATTGATTTACAAGTTGATTTTATCACTTAATACCTCAAAAATCTCTTTTAATGTAAATACGTATATATCTACAACAGAATTTTAGATTACTAAATAATATGAACTTTTATTTAACCAATTTTCTGATCTGCTAATGGATATTTAGATTGCTTCATCTTTAAAAATTATGTGTAGCAAGGACCAGCAGTTGGCATAATGGCTATGTGGTTGGACTCCCATGTAGTCAACCACGGTTCAAGTCCTGTGTGTCTCTGTCTTTCTGGTGAGCACACATGCTCTATAACAAAAAAGCCTCTCAAAAAAAAAAAATTATGTGTTGCCAACAATCTTGTACATACTTTTGGTTTGCATGACCCATTATTTCCATAGAAAATATTCTTAGATGTAGTTCTCAGTTTTCTAATGATATCAATCAGTACCTGTTTAGTGTTGAGACCTTTGGAGTAGAAAAGGCACAAAAGCATGAATCAGAGCATTCAAAAGATAAAAATCTCAGAGATGTGGTAAAGGTTGTAAGAATAGTTGTACTGGTATGGTATATTTCCATGACTTCAGATTTTAACAGAAGTCTGGGCCCTTCACACAGAGAATGTGGACACGTCAATTTGCTTGAACTAGAAGGAAGTAGCGAAGGAGTCCAGAGTCTGTGCTCAGCCCTCCTGGGGGCTGAGAGTCAAAGTGATCTGCCTTCAGAGCTAAAAACTTGTGTTAGAAGAGTCTTGCTAGAAGAAAATGGCAAAGTGGATGTCTTCCATGAGAAAGCTAAGGAAAGAGAAATTGTGAAATCCCACTGAGAATATCGTAGATCATGATATTGATGAGAACACTTTCCCTAACAGTAAACAATTATGAATTTTACTGGCTTAAGGTATGGAGGAAAGGGACCAGCTGATGGCATAATGGTTATGTTGATAGATTCCCAGATAGTTGACCATGGTTCAAGCCTGGACCCAGCAGCTTAAAACTCATGCCAGGTGTGTGTGTGTGTGCACCCATAATCCTAGAGGAGAATGGAGGAGAAAGAAAGCAGTGTTGCTATCTCCCTGGGGGGTTATCTCTTGCTCTCTCTCTCTCTCTGTCTCTGTCTTGTGCCCACGCTGTATAGAAAAAAATCTCTATTTAAAAAAATGAAAAAAGAGACTAGCAGTTAGTGTAATGGCTATGTCACTGAACTCCTGTGTAGCTGACCGCAGTTTGCGTCCTGGACCCAGTGGCTTAAACTCATGCCGGCCACATATGCGTGTGTGCCTAAGATCCTGAGAGGAGAATGAAGGAGAAGGGACTGCGGTGTGGTCATTCCCCCTGGGGGGTGATTTCTCACTTTCTATCTCTTTGTCTTTCTCTGTCTTTCTGGCAAGCGCACGTGCCCTATAGCAAAAACCTCTCCAAAAACACAAAAGGGGGGGGCAGATATGGAGGAAAAACAATTCTGTTCAACTTATCTGTAATATCCAAAAGGCTTCAAAGTGGCATGGTTAGAGGATAGATAAAAACTAGTAAAGTAGAACACATTTAACTATGACATGGTGTAACCATGCTCTACCCTCCTCCCCCTATGAGTTTCTAGTCCGTTTGTTGTCTATTCATGGTCTATTAGTTTACCCTTTGCTGTGTGATCTTTTTCTGAAGCTCTTATGATCTTAGGTCCATCCTTCATTCACTTAGACAAAGCTTTTACCTTGCTTCTAGCCCCGAGGTCAAGTCCCCAGTCCCTTAGCTCTCCTTGGGAGATAAGCTGCCAACAGAGGTCACCTCTTACTCTTCTTTCTCCAAAGGGAAGGAAATTGTTACTTGGGGAAATCTTGCTTTTCACATTCCCTTGAGGCCAGGCCTCGGTGCCAGGGTCTCCTGACAGTTTCCAGGTGTTTGTGGTCTCTTTCATTTTGACTTCCTTTCTATCTTTCTTTTTTTTTTCTAAAGGATTGTTTTATCTAACTTTATTTATTTACTCATTTATTTTGTTTTAATTTGACTAGAGAGAGATAGAATAAAAGAGAGAGAGGGAGGGAGAAGAATTTATTTTGTTTTAATTTGACTAGAGAGAGAAAGAATAAAAGGGAGGGAGGGAGAAGAAAAGTGAGAAAGTAAGCCGCCAGGTCCAGGACTCAAACCATGATCAGCCATGTGGGAGTCCAGCACCCTTAACCACCACATCACGACTTCTACTTTATTTCATTCACAGTTTCCTCTTTGTGTTTCTCAACTACTCAATTCCCCTTTTACACTAGCGAGGAAATGGAAATAGTGAGAATAAAAAGTAACAGTGAGTTTCAACTAGCTTGAGTTGTCATAGTAAAGTTCTCTAACATTCATTCTCTCTCTTTTTTTAAAAAAATATTTTATTAGCTTTATTTATTTTCATTTGAGCAGAGAAGAACAGAGTGAGAGAGAGAGGGAAAGTGAGAAAGCAACCTGCCAGGTTCGGGACTTGAACCATGGTTGACCATGTGGGAGTTCAGCACCCTTAACGACCATGCCACCTGATGGCCCTCATTCTCTTTTTTTAAATTGGGAGGATGTTAAAGTAATAATGTTATTTATTCAAACTTTGTTACCTATTGGTATATATTTTTGCAAATATTTATGACATTGATTTATATTGATTCAAAGTAGGAACATCAATTGTACTGGTATGGTATATTTTCATACTTGCACATAGCCAGAGCTCTGCCTACTTTTACGTTGTTTGTAAGAACATTATTTCACCAAACAGTGATCTGTTGAGCACTTGCTAAGAAGTCCGCACCTTGTGAAACATTGGAGATAACAGGAGATCCCTCAGGCTGTGCAGTAGACAGAGCTTTGGAGCTGTCAGTAGGGTTTCTGCTGGTGGGGGCATCGTAGTACAATCAATGGGTCTAGGACTTCATTTCTCTGCTTTGAACATTAATTGCAAAGACTGACCTATAAACTTGGAACTTTGTTGTCATATTGAAAGTCATATTGTCCTAGTTTGTCTAAATGTGAAAGTGCAAACCTACTTCCCTAACACTGGTCACCTTATAAATGTCACTCCCCTGTTTGTATTTATGTTCCAGCTAGCCTTCTTTTGTTGCAAGAGAGCCACTCAAGTCAGCTTGCCCATATAGAGGTTTAGTGTAAAAGGAGATATGAGATCTCATGGGAACCCAAGCACAGTGTCTTAATATAGCCAGGCCCTCTGGAGATGGCTGTGGATCGAAGGCAGGTCTCACATCTTTCAGTTTTGCTTGTGAATGCCTCAGCGATCTCCTCCTGGTATCTCCAATGTTTCACAGAGCGCTGACTTAATAGTATGCACTCCATAGATCATTGAATAATGTTCTTAACAGATTGGAGTTATGTTAAGTATTCCCCTTGCTGAAAGAAACTCTGGGGTATGATTGTAATTCACTAAATGGGAAATAGTGTGACTTGCCATAGACTGAGAAAAATGGTGTAAAAGGAAAATATTTGAGGGAACCAGCAGTTAGCGTAATGGCTATGTCGCTGGACTCCCATGTAGTCGACCGCGGTTTGCATCCCGGACCCGGTGGCTTAAAATTCACGCCGGGTGCATGTGCATGTGTGCCCAAGATCCTGAGAGGAGAATGGAGGAGAAGGGATTGCGGCGTGA